TGCACTGCAGCTGATGCAAAAGGTGAACAAAGAGGAAGGGGTTGGATGGTATCACCCCCACTCCTACCACCAGCACCACAGCTGTTCAGAGGTTTGGTCCTCAAAAGCCATTTAATATTCCTGCAAACTCTGTCTTTTAAAAAAAAACAAAACAGTAACCATGACAACTCTGAGCAAAAAGAAAAAAAAACAAAACCAGGAGTAGGCTGTTTCAGTTCTCAGGCACACATTATACGGAACATATTCTTTATCCACAGGAATGTCTGGTACATTAGGTCCTAGTGAAACATTTCCATTTACACATTGAGAAAAATGGGGGGTAAGCTCATGTCAATACTGCTTTAGTAACCCTTTTTTGAAGTGGAATGTTTATTATTTTATATCAAAAGCTATCCATTCGAGAATGAAAGAAACCCACACATCTCGGGGCAATTTTTACACAATATTCATGTGTGTCCTAATTCCTGGGTAACCCCCAGGGGGCATCAGAGAGCTTTTTCCTTTTTTAGCTCACAGGGATGTGAGAAATCCTGGGTGCTCTTTCCAGGTCATACAAATTCCAGTGCTGTGCTCAGTCGCAAGTCCTGTCCTACTCTTTTCGAACCTATGGACTGTAGCCCTCCAAGCTCCTCTGTCCATGGGATTCTCCAGACAAGAACACTGGAGTGGGTTGCCATTTCCTTCTCCAGGTGATTTTCCCAACCCAAGGATCCAACCTGCTTCTCAGGTCCCCAGCACTGGAAAACAGGTTCTTTACCACTGAGCCACCAGCAAATTCCAGTAGATAGGTTCTATTGTGCAGACTTCCTTGGATCAAGCCAGGGCACAGGAAGCTGGCAGCGTGTGTTACATTGTCAGTAATTTTGTTTTTGGCCAAGCTTCCTTGGTGACTCAGATAGTAAAGAATCTGCCTGCAATGCAGGAGACCTGGCTTTGAACCCTAGGTCAGGAAGATCCCCTGGAGAAGGGAATGGCAACCCACTCCAGTACTCTTGCCTGGAGAATTCCATGGACAGAGGAGCCTGGCGGGCCACAGTCCATGGGGTCGCAAAGAGTCAGACATGACTGAGCAACTAACACAACACTAAGGATAACCCTATCAAGATGCAGAGCACTTCAAGAGTTAAATCCAGAGTTTCAAGCAACAATGCCAATTCTTGTTGAGAAGCAAATGGCTGTGGTTGAGCCAACTCAACTGTTTGTGGTGCAAACAGTATCCAGATACCCAGAGTGCTCCAAGCCAGCAATAGAGAATGTAATGCTAACCAATTGACTAGATCTCCTGGGCTCAGTACAGCCAAACTACAGATTCTAAACATGCCATTTAAACTCCCTAAATTTATCTGAGAAGTAATCCAGGGATAAAAATGATACAACAGAATCAGTGGTACAGGTGATAGCTCATGAACCACAGTGCTCAGTACATAGCTAACAGTGCATAAGTTATTGGGATAAATGCTCTTAAAAGAGACATTGTTATGATAAGAATATTCATGCCATTGTTGTTCAATCACTAAGTCATGTCCAATTCTTTGCCCGCCCATGGACTGCAGCATTCCAGGATCCTCTATCAACTATCTCCTGGAATATGCTCAAATTCCTGACCATTGAATCGGTGATGCTATATAACCATCTCATCCTCTGCCCCCTTCTCTTTCTGCCTTCAATCCTTCTCAACATCAGGGTCTTTTCCAATGAGTCAGCTCTTCAAATCAGTAACCAAAATATTGGAGCTTCAGTTTCAGCATCAGTCCTTTCAATACTCAGGGTTGGTTTCCTTTAAGATTGACTGGTTTGATATCCTTGCAGTCCAAGGGACTCTCAAGAGTCTTCTCCAGCACCACAATTCAAACACAACAATTCTTCAGGGCTCAGACTTCTTTATGTTCCAACATTCACATCCGTACATGACTACTAGAAAAACCATAGTTCTGACTACATGCACCTTTGTTGGCAAAGTGATGTCTCTGCTTTTTTAATATGCCGTCTAGGTTGGTCATAGATTTTCTTCCAAGGAGCAAGTGTCTTTGAATTTCATGGCTGCAGTCACCATCCACAGTGATTCTGGAGCCCAAGAAAATAAAATCTGTCACTGCTTCCACTTTTCCCTCATCTAATTGTTATTAAATGATGGGTCCAGATGCCATGATCTTTGTTTTTTAAATGTTGAGTTTCAAGCCAGCTTTTTCAGTATCCTCTTTCACCCTCATGAATAGGCTCATTAGTTCCTCTTCACTTTCTGCCATTAAAGTGGTATCATCTGCATATCTGAGGTTGTTGATATTTCTCCCAGCAATCTTGATTCCAGCTTGTGATTCATCCAGTCCAGCATTTCTCATAATGTATATACTCTGCATATAAATTGAAAAAGCAGAATGACAATATACAGCATTGACGTACTCCTCTCCCAATTTTGAACCAGTCCATGGTAAGTAAGGTGTTCTGGTATTCCCATCTATTTAAGAACTTTCCACAGTTTAGTTGTGTTCAACACAAAAGTCAAAGTCTTTAGCATAGTCAACGAAGCAGAAGTAGCTGTTTTTCTGGAATTCCGTTGTTTTCCCTATGATCCAAGGAATGTTCGCAATTTGATCTCTGGTTCCTCTGCCTTTTCTAAGCCCAGCTTGTACATCTGGAAGTTCTTGGTTCATATACTGTTGAAGCCTAGTTTGAAGGACTTTGAGTATAACCTTGCTAGCATGTGAATTAGTGAAGTTGTACAGTGGTTTGAATAGTCTTTGACATTGTCCTTCTTTGGGATTGGAAAGAAAACTGATCTTTTCCAGTCCTGTGGCACTGCTGAGTTTTCCAAATTTGCTGACATAATTGGGTGCAGCACTTACACAGCATCAACTCAGGATTTTAAATAGCTCAGCTGGAATTCTGTCACCTCCACTAGCTTTGTTCACAGTAATGCTTCCTAAGGCCCACTTGACTTCACACTGTTGGATGTCCAGCTCTAAGCGAGTGACCACACCATCATGGTTATCTGAGTCATTAAGACCTTTCTGGTATAGTTTGTCTGTGTATTCTTGCCACCTCTTCTTAATCTCTTCTGCCTCTGTTAGGTTCTTACTGTTTCTGTCCTTTACTATGCCCATCCTTGCGTGAAATAGTCCCTTGATATCTCCAGTTTTCTTGAAGAGATTTATAGTCTTTCCCACTCTATTGTTTACCTCTGTTTCTTTAATTGTTCATTTTAGAAGGCTTTCTTATCTCTCCTTGCTATTCTCTGGAACTCTGCATTCAGTTGGGTATATCTTTGCTTTTCTCCTTTGCCTTTTGCTTCTCTTCTTTTCTCAGCTATTTGTAAGGCCTCCTCAGACAACCACTTTGCCTTCTTGCATTACTTTTTCTTTGAGATGGTTTTTTTTTTTTTTTTGAGGTTGAAATTGCTTTTATTGGGGTGAGTGCGGCAGGCCCGCCATGGTCAGGTTAGTGTTCTGCCCTAGAAGTCAGCTGAAGCCGGGTGCCTCCACCCTCGACCTCCCTGGGTTAGTGGAACATGCAAAGCTCAATCAGAAGGTGGAGGCAGGGGTGGAGCCGCCAGGGCCTGGGGCGATGGAGCAGGAGCTGGCGGCACTGGCGGGCGGCCTGGTTTGAGATGATTTTGATCACTGCCTCCTGTACAATGTTACAAACCTCCATATGTAGTTCTTCCGGCACTCTGTCAGATCTAATCCCTTAAATCTATTTGTTACCTCCACTGTATAATCATAAGGGATTTGATTTAGGTCATACCTGATGGCCTAGTGGTTTCCCTAGTTTCTTCAATTTAAGCCTGAACTTTGCAATAAGGAGCTCATGATCTGAGCCACAGTCATCTCCTAGTCTTGTTTTTGCTGACTGTTTAGAGCATCACCATCTTCAACTGCAAAGAACATAATCGACCTGATTTCAGTATTGACTATCTGGTGATGCCCACGTATAGAGTTGTCTCTTTTGTTGTTGGAAGAGGGTATTTGTTATGACCAGTGTGTTCTCTTGGCAAAACTCTGATATCTTTTGCCCTCCTTCATTTTGTACTTGAAAGCTAAACTTGCCAGTTACTCCAGGTGTCACTTGACATCCTACTTTTGCATTCCAATTCCCTACAATGAAAAGGACATTTATTTTTTTTTTGGTGTTAGTTCCATAGGGTCTTGTTGGTCTTCATAGAACTGTTCGACTTCAGTATTAGTGGATGGACATAGACTTGGATTACCGTGATCTTGAATTGTTTGCCTTGGAAACAAACTGATATCATTCTGTCATTTTTGAGATTGCACCCAAGTACTGCATTTCAGACTCCTTTGTTGATTATGAGGGCTATTTCATTTCTTCTAAGAGATTCTTGCCCACAGCAACAGATAAAATGGTCACCTGAATTAAATTCACCCATTCCCGTCCATTTTAGTTCACTGATTCCTAAGATGTTGATGTTCCCTCTTGCCATCTCCTGCTTAAACACATCCAATTTACCTTGATTCATGGACCTCATTCCAGGTTCCTATGTAATCAGGGTTACAATGCTCTTTATAGCATCGGACTTTACTTTCACCACCAGACACATCCACAACTGGGCGTCTTTTCTGCTTTGGCCCAGCCACTTCCTTCTTTCTGGAGCTATTAATAACTGCCCTCCACTCTTCCCCAGTGGTATATTGGACACCCTCTGATCTGGGGGACTCAACTTCCAGTGTTATATCTTTTTGCCTTTTCATACTGTCCGTGGGGCTCTCCAAGCAAGAATACTGGAGTGGCTTGCCATTCCCTCCTCCAGTGCATCATATTTTGTCAGACCTCTTCACTATGACCCTTCTGCCTTAGGTGGGCCTGTATGGCACGGCTTTTAGCTTCTTTGAGTTATGCAAGCCCTTTTGCCAGTGACAAAGCTGTGATCCACGAAGAGGAAAGAATACTCATAATCCAAGCTAAACTATTGGTCATATAATTATAAGACATCACTATCCCCATATGCCTTCTAACTGGAATAATGATTATCCACCCATGTGACTTACCTTCTCAAAGTCTCGAAGAGCCTGGGTCTGCACCTGAAGAGGTCTTTCAAATGCTCTCAACGAATGCCCAAAGGGGACCTTGTCACCACTTCTCCAGGTCTGTGACTGCACAGGAGGGCCTCGATCTTTGGTGTCACTAAGAAAAGCTGCCCGTGAAACAGAACAACAGAAGATGTTATCTGATAGTGGCATTATGATCATTCTAACCTTCATGTCCCAGCAGAATTTGGTTTCTGCAGAATATGAGCCAATTCTAGGCCACCCAGAAGCAGTGCACGTGAAGTAGCCTATGGTAGATCTTATTAACAGTGGTCCCTAGCGCAGCCCACTAGTTTATGTCCATGTACCTTCGTGACGTGATGGTCCTGCTCCTGCCATCAGAAAGCAGAGTCTACTTCCCTAGCACTTGAATCTGGGTTGGCTGAGTGACTTGCTGTGACCTAGAGATGGTGATGAAAATGCCACTTTGGGATGAATGCCACAGACTGGGCCTTGAGAAGCCTTGCATTTATGTTCTTGCCTTCTTAGAACCCCACAACCACAATGCTGGGAAGAATCCCAGATTACCTTCCTGGGGGATAAAGGCCAAGTCCTGGGGGAATGAGGATGCCAATCACCACTGCCAGACACTTGAGAAAAGGTGTCTTAGGACTTCAGTCCCAGTCAAGCTGTCAGACGATGGCAGCTGTTTGAGTAATTCAAGTGAGACCAACAGAAGAAATGCCCAGTTTCCCAACATCCAGGATTGTGAGAAATAATATATCATTGTTGTTTAAGCCATGAGTGGGCAAACCTTTTCTTACAGGGCCAGATAGTAAATACTTTAGGCTCATGGGCATCATCTCTGTCACAACTACTCAACTCTGCCCTGGTAGCTCAAAGCAGATGCAGAGAATATGACAGAGAATGAGCATGACTGTGTTGTGATAAAGCTTTCTTTACAAATACTGGCAACTGGACCCATGGGTGGCAGTTTGCTGACCCCTGTTTGAAGCCACTAAGTTTTAGAGTGGTGTGTCACATGAAACCAAACATAACTGAAATAGCTTTATTTGAAAAAAAAAAATCAAGCTACTAGCTAAGAAGTATTTCTACAAACCTCTTTACAGAGAATCCTTCAGGTTATAGTATAGGAATAATAACAAATGTAACAACCAACACTGTAACAGGTGTTACAAAATAGTTTCATATGAATTATTTCATTTATAAATTAGTGCTGAGAATTCCCTGGTGGTCCAGTGGTTAGGACTCTGCTTTCTCTACAAGGGGCCCAGGTTTGATCCCTGGTCTGGGAACTAAGATCCCACACACCTCACAGCCAAAAATAAATAAATAAAAAGTTATTGCAACCAGTGAAACAGACTGAAATAGACTGATGTGATTATTATATCCATTTTACTAATGAGTAAACAAAGGTTCAGACATTTTTCCCAATACTACACTTCTAAAAGGGCTTCCCAGGGTGGCAATAGTGGTAAAGAACCTGCCTGCCAATGCAGGAGACATAAGAGATGCAGGTTCCATCCCTGGGTAGGAAAGATCCCCTGGAGGAGGGTATGGCAACCCACTCCAGTTATTCTTGCCTGAAGAAGCCCATGGACATTGGACCCTGGCAGGCTACAGTCCATAGGGTCGCACAGAGTCAAACATGACTGAAGCAACTTGGCACTCAAGAATGCATGCACACTGCTAAAAAGTGGCAGAACCAATATCACATCCCTTCCGTTCAATCTTTCTAACAGCATGCTAACACCATGCTATTTTAGCAGCAAAGGGGACTGTAACAGGCCTGAGAGGGAGAAACAGGCAAAGGGACAGAGACACAATATTTCCACTAACCAGTGTAAGCACACTCCTGGGAGAAGTTCACGGAGGCTAAGCTGCTATCAACCCTATGCCTGCCTTGGAGAAGTAACACTGTGGAGAATAAGAAACCGGGGCTTCCTTCAAGCATAGTACACAGATGACCTCCGACTAAGGCAGGCTTGGGGTGGTAGACTCAGGTCAAAGACATAGAAAAACACATCTTTTCTTGACTGACAGTAAGAAGCAGTGAGCCTTTATTACTGAACTTTTTTTTTTTAATCATAGAGAATGGCAGCCATGACAACCCACTGAGCTCCACAGGCATCAAGTGACAGTGAAATGGGCTCTGGGTGACTCTAGGCCCACCGAGAGAAAGCTGCCTGCACACAGACTCACGGACAAAGGCCAGCTGAAGGGGCCAAAAACCAATAACGCCACCATAGGCTCTTTTTCTTTCCTTTCTTTTCCCCCCTTTCCCTTTTCTCTTTCCTTCCTTCATCCCTTGTACACTCTTGTCTCTTTTGTTGAAAATTAATGGACCCTGTATGCATGGGCACCAAAAACAAAACAAAACAAAACAAACCAAGTGGGACTACATTAAACTAAAAAGCTTCTGTTCACCAAAGGAAACCGTCAGCAGAAAGAAAAGGCAGCCTCTGGGATGGGAGCGTATATGCCTCCCTTCCTTCTTCCTGCTTTCTCTTTCTGCAAACTTGCTAGAAGGAATGCAAGAAAATGTCCCCAGATACTTCAATCAACTTCTCAGAATTTTTTTTTTAAATTTAAGAAAAGAGAATTCCCTGTTTTTAAAAAAGAAGAAAAAAGAAGACAGAAAGTATCAGGAAGATGACAATGAAGAGAAAGATGAAGACGAAACTAATGATGATAAATAGGGTGGTTCCAGTGCAGTTTTATTTTCTGGTTTAGAAGTATCTAACTACTCATAACTACTCATTACATCACTGATTTTTTTAAAAAGGAAATATAAGGCTACATGGTTTCTTTTTAAACTGGACACTGTACAGTATCTTTTCATTTCTGTAAAAATAATATATTATCAAGTGTGTTTAGGTGGCCCTGTGCTTAATGGTATCTTTCAATAGGCAGTAACCTTGCCTGGTAGAGTAGTAGGGTTTAAATAAGCACAAGAATTTAAAGCAGGTTTTACACTCTCCGACATAAATTACAGCAGGATCCTCTATGACCCACCTCCCAGAATATTGGAAATAAAAGCAAAAATAAACAAATGGGACCTAATGAAACTTAAAAGCTTTTGCACAACAAAGGAAACTATAAGCAAGGTGAAAAGACAGCCCTCAGAATGGGAGAAAAGAATAGCAAAAGAAGCAACAGACAAAGAATTAATCTCAAAAATATACAAGCAACTCCTGCAGCTCAATTCCAGAAAAATAAATGACCCAATCAAAAAATGGGCCAAAGAACTAAACAGACATTTCTCCAAGGAAGACATACAGATGGCTAACAAACACATGAAAAGATGCTCAACATCACTCATTATCAGAGAAATGCAAATCAAAACCACAATGAGGTACCATTACACGCCAGTCAGGATGGCTGCTATCCAAAAGTCTACAAGCAATAAATGCTGGAGAGGGTGTGGAGAAAAGGGAACCCTCTTACACTGTTGGTGGGAATGCAAACTAGTACAGCCACTATGGAGAACAGTGTGGAGATTTCTTAAAAAACTGGAAATAGAACTGCCATATGACCCAGCAATCCCACTTCTGGGCATACACACCGAGGAAACCAGATCTGAAAGAGACACGTGCACCCCAATGTTCATCGCAGCACTGTTTATAATAGCCAGGACATGGAAGCAACCTAGATGCCCATCAGCAGACGAATGGATGAGGAAGCTGTGGTACATATACACCATGGAATATTACTCAGCCATTAAAAAGAATTCATTTGAATCAGTTCTAATGAGATGGATGAAACTGGAGCCCATTATACAGAGCGAAGTAAGCCAGAAAGATAAAGACCATTACAGTATACTAACACATATATATGGAATTTAGAAAGATGGTAACGATAACCCTATATGCAAAACAGAAAAAGAGACTCAGATGTATAGAACAGACTTGTGGACTCTATGGGAGAACGTGGGGGTGGGATGTTTCAAGAGAACAGCATCGAAACATGTATATCTAGGGTGAAACAGATCACCAGCCCAGGTTGGATGCATGAGACAAGTGCTCAGGGCTGGTGCACTGGGAAGACCCAGAGGGATCGGGTGGAGAGGGATGCGGGAGGGGTGTTCAGGATGGGGAACCCATGTAAATCCAAGGCTGATTCATGTCAATGTATGGCAAAAACCACTACAATACTGTAAAGTAATTAGCCTCCAACTAATAAAAATAAATGAGAAAAAAAATAAAGCAGGTTTTATTGGTACATAGCACAGATTAGTTACAAACAAGAGTTGGGTTTTTCCCACCTTAAATCATGTTTAAGTCAGTTTGTACAAAGTAATTGTTATAATGTTAATTGTTTATCACACTGTGATTGCAAATTAATAATAATAGTAATAATAATAATGGTGCACCTCTTTTGTTGAAAACTTGACATTTCTAAGTAAATACAAATGCTTAATTAAAATAAATTAGAAAAAATTATTTCTTGCACACTTATATGAAATTAAATAAGGCGATTAAATGAAAGAAAATTTTATAAAACAGAGCAATGTATTACAGTTAGATCCATAGAATATGATACAGAAGAGACTTCAAAGAGTAGATCTGGAGACAACAAAAATGTTTAAAAAAAAAAAAGATTGGATATGAATCCTGACTAATCCACCTGCTAATTATGGGAATTGAGGCAAATCTTTTAATTTTGCTGAGTGCCATTGCCTCTGTAAAAACAGGAATAATGATGTTTACCTCATAGAGCTTTCATATGGATTAAATGAAACAATAAAAGTAGCCAACTGAACACCTTGCTTATAATAGGCAATTTCTTCTTTACCCTTCCACTCTTTTGCCCTAGTCTTTCAATTTTTACCTCAAAACGGAGGATCTTCATGCTCAAAATGGGTAAGGTAGACCTTTAGAATTTACGGATTTTACATACACAATTACAAATGCTAATTTTAAATGACTCCAAGTCCTTAACACATTCAAATTAAGAAGTTTTTTCTGCATTGTGCATATGAACCATCTGTGCTTCAAGGCTGATATGAAAAGGCAAGTCACTTAGCAAAGTAGGTAAAACGCTAAGTGACTGAAAGTTTTTGTGAAAAATAGCCCCCAAAAGAGAATTATTTTCACTTTGGTTTTGTAATTTAGGTAGACCTCTAGCTAATTTTAATACAGGAATAATATATTATTGTGTACACATTAATAATAATATTTACATGTGTTTATTCCTTGACAAGCTCTGTATTAAGAGCTTTTCTTTTTTTAATGTTTATTTATTTATTTGGCTGCAAGTCGGGTCTTAGTTGCAGCATGCAGATTCTTCCTTGTGTCATCTGGGATCTTTCATTGTGGGGCACAGACTCGGACTCTCCTGGGCTTAGTTGCTCTGAGGTACATGGGATCTTAGTTCCCCAATCAGGGGTCAAACCCGTGTCCCTTACATTGCAAAGAGGATTTAAAATAATTTTTTTTTTAATTTAAACTTTTTATTCTGTATTGGGATATAGCCAATTAACAGTGTTGTGATAGTTTAAGGTGAACAGCAAAAGGATTCAGCCACACATATATACATGTATATCCATTCTCCCCCTAACTCCCCTCCAATCCAAGTTGCCACATGATGTTGAGCAGAGTTCCCCATGCTATGCAGTAGGTCACTGTTGGTTATCCATTTTAAATACAGCGGTGTGTATCTGTCCATTCCAAATTCCCTAACTATCCCTTCCCCCCATTCTTTCCCCTCCAGCAACTGTAAGCTTCCTCTCTAAGTCTGTGAATCTCTTTCAGTTTTGAAAGTAAATTCACTTGTATCATTTCTTTTTAGATTCCGCATATAAGGGATGTCATACAATATTTTGCAGGGAGGATTCTTAACCATTGCACCACCAGGGAAGTCCTCGAAGAGCTTTTCTAATCTCACTTATGAGGTTGACACCATTATTGTACCCATTTTAATGGTATATTCGAGATTTCATTCTAGTGGAAGAGTCTATTTTAATCATTTTACAAGTGACTTTAACTTGCAGTTACAGAATGCTAACAGTATGAAGAGTTCACATTACTGAAATACTGAAGTATTTCAGTTATGAGTTACTGCACTGTGCTGCGAAGGTGGGATATTATATTCTACAGTGGTATGTGCAAATTTTGAAACTCAAAAAAAGTCTGAAGATATTGCCAAGATGATGGGATCTAAAATTTAAGAGATTTATGATCAGCAGGAGACCAAGAGTATAGCAAAGAAAGATCCATGACCTCCTTACCTGCTGCATGACTTGTTCTAGGTACCATCTCCCCATCATCTTCTGCAAAACAATCTCTGTGAAGAGAAGCACATCACTCATTAATGAAGTAACACCCCACACGGTGTTCAATTCCTCAGTGTCAAGACATCTGGTTTTATTTCTTTCTCCGCAAGCAATCATTAAGCTGTTACAGTACTGTGTATCAGGGTCAGGGTTAAGTGCTGGAAATACAAAGACATGCCCCACCTTACTGAGGATGTGTAGAGGCAGCCACTGGACAAACAATTCCACAGGCATTGAATCACTAGTGCGGCAAGCGCTATGAAGGAATATGCAGCGTAACTTAACTAGCAGAGAGATTCAGAGAAATTCAGAGAAAAGAACATCTAAACTGAGATGAAGAGAATGTCAGCCAGACGAAAAATGGAAACAGAAGTGTATTCCATCATGAGGGAAAAGCAAGGACCCCGAGTGAGGAAGGAACGTGGCCTGTTAGAGGAACAGAGGAAGCCAGGGCTGCAACCTGACCATGCAGGGCCTTGAGGGGTGGGGTAAGCACGTGAGATTCATGTGCAGGGCGATGGAAAGCCACTGAAGGAGTTCAAATGAGGAAATGAATGGTAAATGATCGGATTTAGATGATTCTGACTGCTGAGTGACATTGCGTAGAAGGAACAAAAGTAGATGGGGAAAACAAGAAGCTGTGATAGCTTTAACTAAAGGAAAAGAGAGTAGGAATGCAGAGAAGCAAAGAAATTGATATGCTTAGGAAGTAGAACTGATCCAGAAAACTTGAGAAACAAACAAAAGTCTACTAACGGAAATGTTAAAAAAAAAAAAAATGAAATGTTAAAAAATAAAAGTCTACTAAAAAAAATGTTAAAACAAACAAAAGTCTACTAATGAAAATGTTAAAACACTATGATGCAGTAGCAAGAGCTATATCTGTCCAGCACAGTGAAGACCACTATCCCTAGAAGGGAGGGAAAAGAAAACTCAAGATGTATTCAACAAATGCTTGTCAAGCACTTACTATGATTTTAGGCACTGGTTTTAAACTCTACGAATGTAGCAGTGAACAAAACAGACCAAAACACCTGCACTCATGGAACTTATATAAAAGGACACAAAAAAGCAAAATGTATAGCAACAATTGGGGACAGGTACTATAAAACATTGGGGACAGGTATTATAAAAAGGTCGGGAGTAGAAGTAGGGAATGCTGGAGGGAAGGGGAAGAGATGGGGGTTGCAACTTTTGGTAGGCTAAGTGTCTCTGAGAAGCAATGATGTGGGTATTTGGGCAAAGAGTCTTCCAAGCAGAGAACATCAAGTGCGAAGGCTCTTCAGAGGAAGCACGACAGAGCATTTCTGGAACAACAAGGAGGCCAGTGTGGCTGGGCTGAGTGAGTAGCAGGAGGTGAGGCCAGGAAGTAATAGGAAGGCTGGGCAGGGGACAGATTATATAACGCCTTTCTGGACCCTGAGAGGAATTCAGCCACTGGAGTCTGGTGTGTTAAAAAAAGAGATGAACTGAGTGATGGATGTTTTAAAAGGGCTGGCTACTGTTTTGACAACAGACTGGGTGGGAAAGGCAAGAAACAGAGAAACAGTTGCAATAATCCTACAAAGAGATGCTTTCAACATTTAGCTTACTCCTTAGACCCTCGGGTACTCCCAGTTAGTTGTCCTAAAAATAATTCTATAGCCGGAGATTTAGAAAGCTTCTCTTTTTAAAAATCAGGAGACATTCACAGGGAGGCGGAAGAGAGCCTGGCATTTATTTAGAAACTGTTGGTGTTCTTCCTTCTCTGCCTCAGGGCTGGATCTTGGCATAAATCTTCACTTTGCTAAGTTCCAGATGGACATAAAAGTACCAGGCAGAACACACCAGGCTACACACACCACCTGGCAATTCTTTATCATTCAAAAGCAGGTCACCAGCTTGTAGTTCTTCCAGGCCCTTTGCCCCTTTCCCTTCTCCACTTATTAAAAATTTTCCCTGAGAGTGAAAAATGAAAGAGGTGAACTACTACTTGTGGATTTCCCTCCGTTGAGAAAAAGTAGGGGAAGGATTTTGAAACTATCAGCCAGAATAATGTCTTGAAAAATTTGTGGAGAAAAAAAATACTTAGTTGCTGCTACTCATGCAAGAATGGATTCCTTTATGTTCAGCCCACAGACCTGGGTAACCGCTTCTGCCATCAGGAGCAAGGTCATTCCTCAGGCCAAATTCAGCGCATCCAACATGCTTCATTTGTTCAACACAAGGTTGACCCATTCCTAACTTCTCTTGTAAAATGAATGGGTCTGGCAATACTGGGCCTGCCTTCCCACATAGAGGGATAACCTGCCATCTTTAAACAGAAGAGACATGTTCTCTGGTTTGCCACAGTCCCTGTCACTCCTTGTTCTTGTAATCCCAGCTCATGTGCTCATTTAAGATACTGGCCTGGCTCCTTATAGATCTCTGAGGCTGTCACCCTGGTATAGATCAAATGCAGACAAAACTTTCACTTCTCCTTTAAGACACTGTCTTGAGTTACCTATGTAGCTTTTTGCTGTTGTGTTCCATCGCTAAGTTGTGTTACAAAGAGTTGGGACACGACTTAGCAACAGAACAACAACAACAAGCTACTAAGGGGATTACAGGTCAGTTTTACCTCTGGGCTTCAGCTTCCCTAAATATTTGTAAAAGAAGTCTAAGGTTCCTTCAGTAATTACACAATTCTATTCTAATAGACACCAGTAGCATTAAAACTCATTTTAATACTTTCTAAGGATGGGGAAACTTTCCAGACATGATCTCATTCAATTCTCCTTGCTCTGAAGATTCCACATTATAGATCAGGAGCAAGTGACAACAAGGTGATGCATATGGATGCCACAAGCTACTTCACGTTCTCCCCCATCCCACACTGAGCTGACTGCCTGTCTTCTATGAAGCAATAACCAGAAGGGCAGAGAGGTCACTCTGGATGAGTACTGAGTTAATGGGCTTTCTGTAGTCTCTGGAGATTTTTTTAAAAATCTCTTTAACTCTGTTAACAGCTCAAGTTTCCTCTCATGTTGCCACAGAGTGGGGCTTAATCAGCTGCTCAAAAGCTTGGGAAGGAATCTGATGCTCCCCCAGAGAAGGGACACATGGTTAAGAAACACAAGGTATATGTCGAGGGGATTGCAATTTGTGAAAATAGCTGATAAACCAAAGTGCAAAGAGAATTGGGGTATAGTAGAGACAAACTCCAAGCCAGGCCCTGCCACCCACCCACAAAGCAGTAACATATGTTGGTAAATTTTTCTCTATATTACTTAAGTCCAGAAAAGAATTGTATGCCCCTNCTGAGTGCCAAAGAATTGATGCTTTTGAACTGTGGTGTTGGAGAAGACTCTTGAGAGTCCCTTGGACTGCAAGGAGATCCAACCAGTCCATCCTAAAGGAGATAAGTCCTGGGTGTTCATTGGAAGGACTGATGCTGAAGCTGAAACTCCAATACTTCAGCCACTTGATGTGAAGAACTGACTCATGTGAAGAGACTCTGATGCTGAGAAAGATTGAAGGCAGAAGGAGAAGAGGACAAGAGAGGATGAGATGGTTGGATGGCATCACCAGCTCAATGGACATGAGTCTGGGTAAACTCCGGGAGTTGGTTAATGGACAGGGAGACCTTGTGTGCTGTGGTCCATAGGGTTGCAAAGAGTCAGACACGACTGAGTGACTGAACTGAACTGAACTGCATTGCCTTACAATATTGTGTTGGTTTCTGCCATATTTCAACATGAATCAGCCATAGGTGTACACATGCCCCCTCCTTCCTGAACCTCCTTCCCAACCCGTCCCACCCCTCTAGGTAGTCACAGACATCTGCTACATGCTGATACTCTGATGCTGTCAGACTGTGCTCTGGTGATTTCTTCCAGTAGTTTTCTAAGTGTGCTAGTCTCAATTATATCAGGAATATCCACAACACTCAATTTTGTGTGCCTTAAAAGTGGCTATTCCAAGATGTGAGCCACTGGTCCACTAGTCTGGTCTCTCGAAACATTGTGCGGAGGGGTACAAACTTGGATTCTTCCTTAGCAAAGGGTAACACCATGGCAGAGTCTGCAGAGAAATATTCTCTATAAGGCAGCCATAGACCGTCCTTTGCAAACTGCATAAATATTTGGTGTTATTGCCTTGTATTTTGGTCTGTTTAATTTATGGACTGAGGAAAGTAGTAAACTGTGTTAATGGACCATATTATTCACGAGTAATGGCAAGGTGGTAATCATATAACTTTGCCATTACAAAGTAAATTTCCAACAAGTCTTTGAATAGTATGAAATATTAATATCCCAAACCAAAAGCACCCCAACTATATCTGTTGTCTGTCTAGACCTCACTGCTTTCTTCTTCTATTAAGACAATTAACCTAGGGCTATTTCTTCCCATGAAAAGTGAAAGTGTTAGTTGCTCTTTGTGACCCCATGGACTGTAGCCTGCCAGGCTCTTCTGTCCAAGAAACTGTCTAGGCAAGAATACAGAAGTGGTTTGCCGATTCATTCTCCAGGGGATATTCCTGACCCAGCTATCGAACCAGGGTCTCCCACACCGTAGGCAGATTGTTTACCATCTGAGCCACCAGGTTAGCCCATTTCTTCCCATAAGAGTGTCCAAACTCCCACAGAGGTGGTTATTTTTTCAGGCTTCCTCCCCAAGGCTATCACACACACTTAGTCACACAGTCTGGTCCCCTTACTTCGTCATGCATCACCACCCTTCCTTAACATCTCTAAGCTGAGGGACAAAGACCTTCTCCCAGAGGCATTTTCTGTCTTTCAAATTTCTTCTTATATGGCTTTCTTATCATAACGGAAAATTCAGGAGAAGGAAAAGCAATCAGCCATACCAGTATTTAGAGCAAAAAACTGGGCCTTGGTTGCTATTTTTAGAGTTTGTCATTCCTTTTCATAAACATTTACTGAGAAGTTACTTGTATAACAAGCACCAAAAATATCAATATGAAAAAGAAATGCCCTGAAATCAAGGTGCTCAGAGCTGTCTACTAGGGGTGGCAGACAGGATTTGAAGA